GCCAGCTTCGACCGGGCCCAGCTCCCATCGCTGGCTCCACCCCTACTTCCTGCTATCACTGGCCAGGGCGGAAAAGGCACCTGATTCTCTGATCATGGCTGGGGGGCAGGGCAAAGGCAGCCCCAGGGCCGCCTTTGCCCTGCCCCCCAGCTCTTAGCTCCCCCCTGGGTTTCCGATCACTGTCAGTGGCAGGGGGCTTCTTCTTGCTTTCCCTTTTGCCTCCCTGCATTGTGCCTACATATGCAAATTAACCGCCATCTTGTTGGCAGTTAATTTGCATATAGCCCTGATTAGCCAATGAAAAGGGTAGCATCGTATGCCAATTACCATTTTTCTCTTTTATTAGTGTAGATATGTATATTAACTAACCCTAAGTTAATAACTAAGATTATAATATCTAATCTATTTTACATATATTTAGACATTGGTATGTATTTGTTGGTTTTTTTTTTTTTTTTTACAGAGAAGGTACATATAGCCTGACTGGCGTGGCTCAGTGGTTGAGCAATGACCTATGAACCAGGAGGTCATGGTTTGATTCCTGGTCAGGGCACATGCTCAGGTTGTGGCCTCGGTCCCCAGTGGGGGGCATGCAGGAAGCAGCTGATCAATAATTCTCTCTCATCATTGATGTTTCTCTCTCTCTCTCCCTCTCCTTTCCTCTCTGAAACCATTTTTTTTAAAAAAGGTACGTATAACAAAAATAAATTTTAAAAAATCAATATTGGTTAAGAATTTGAAGAACAAACTTGCTTTAAAATAATTTCAGATTTTTTTTTTGCCCAGACAAATCTCTCCCCAGGGTCCTGAAAGAATGTGAGAACTGGCTAAGTCATAGTCCAGGAAAGGGAAGACTCATTAAGCAGGCATTGTGCTGTTTAGTACAATAATGATTAGTGGAGGCTTGGAAAGGAAGCAACAATCACTAGAGGGAAGCAGAGCCAACTCTGAGTTCTGTCACTTGGACAACCTCTGTGACCTTGGACAAGGTACTTAATCTCCCAGAGCCTCAGCCTCTTCATTACAACACCATGGGGTTGTGTGAGCATCGAATGAAATGAGGCTAAAAATGCTTTCGTAAAGGGCCATGTACAAATAAAGGCTTGCTATTCTTTTACAGGATTATTACATTGATTCATCAGAGGATTGTGGCAGACCCAGTATATCTGGATGCAAACAAAATATTTGACACATTTCATTGCATATTTTAAGAAAGGTTGGAAAATGTGAGTCAGATGCTGGGATAATTGAGTGGGCTAGGAACTTGCTGAATGATCATTCATTGGGATGCTGAATGAATGGCTTGATGGGAAATTTCTATTGGCCTAATACAGGATTCACTACACTCTGTATTTTACAAAGCTTTAATTTTTATCAAATTTGCAAGTGACATGAAGTTTAAGACAGAAAACTTATGAGAGACAGAAACATAATCTAAAATATCCCAGCAGGCCAAAACAAAGATTATTTTTCAAGATAAAATGTAAATAGGATAATTGTATCTAAATGATATAAAAATTTTGCAAACATTTAAATATTATAATTCCTAGAGTTAGCAGGAGTTTAGAAAAACAGGTAATTTCATATTGTCTTGATAAGAGTATAAATAGGCACACCACCAAAGGAAAATAGACAATGTGTAAAATGGGCCTTAAAAATAAGCATATTCTTTGACACACAAAAAAACACTTCTGGAAATGCACAAATTGTGTAAAATAACCTAACCAGAGATATCTATACAAAAGTATTATTAATGTCTGAGAATAACTATCAGTAACAAATACATCTAATAGTACAGATTTTATAAGTAAACTAGAGGCCTGGTGCATGAAAATTCATGCACTGGAGCAGGGTCCCTCAGCCCAGCTTGCACCCTCTCCAATCTGGGACCACTCAGGGGATGTCCAACTGCCGGTTTAGGCCCGATCCCTGTTCCTATACCGGCAGTCAGACATCCCTCTCGCAATCCAGGACTACTGACTCCTAACTGCTCACCTGCCTGCCTACCTGCCTGCTCACCCCCAACTGTGCCCCTTTGCTGGCCTGATTGCCCCCAACTTCCTCCCGCTGGCCTGATCACCCCCAATTGCCCCCCACTGCCAGCCCGCTTGCCCCTAACTGCCCCCTCTGCCGGTCTGATCACCCCCAACTGCCCTCTCTCCTGGCCTGATCGCCCCTAACCATCTCTGCCTTGGCCCCACCACCATAGCTTAGTCTGGAAGGATGTTCAGAGGTCTCCCGGTCTAATTAGCATAACCCTTTTATAAGGTCCCCTGTGCTGGCCCGCCATCACCACACAGACAGAGTTCAGTGGTCGGCAAACTGCGGCCCGCAAGCCACATGCGGCTCTTTAGCCCCTTCAGTGTGGCTCTTCCACAAAATACCACGTGCGGGTACGCATGTACAGTGCGATTGAAACTTTGAGGCCCATGCTCAGAAGTCGGTATTTCGTGGAAGAGCCACACTCAAGGGGCCAAAGAGCTGCATGTGGCTCACGAGCCACAGTTTGCCGAGCTGCAGTTTGCCAACCACTGGTATAGATGATGGTACTTACATAGCATGAAATACTATTTTGCATGGTTCTCAGTGTGGGGGAGGGGGTGATTTTGCCACCCCTCCCTCCCAAGGGACAATTGGCAAAGTCTGGAGACATTTTTGGTTATCATAACCTGCAGGGGGAGGGAGGTACTCCTGGTATCTTAGGGGGGAAGTCCAGAGGTACTGCCAAAAACCCTACAATATACAGGAAAGGCCCCCCCTCCCTTCCCGCCTCGCCGACAAAGAATCATCTGCCCTCAAATGTCAATAGTGCCAAGAAACAGTCTTGAGAAACTCTACTATATAGTCTTTAAAAATTACGTTGAGGCAGAATAGTTAATGATATAGGGAAATGTTAAAATATTTTGTAAAAAATTTTAAAGTTATTAAATGCCGAGCCATTTCGTGTGTGTGTGATAACAATGGACTGCATTCAATGGTAATTGATGATAGCAGTATTATGAGTGATTTTTCTTCTGCATTCTTTTCTGCATTTTTCAAAGTGTCTTATAACATGTATTACCTTGAACTTCAGTGAAGGAAAATATTTGATGAAGATTAATTATCAAGGGTTGGTCTTTTCCATGAGCCGTGTGAAAAAGTTTTGATGGGTTTTGTTCATAATGAGTCTGCGGTCTTGGGCTAGATTAACCAAGATCCGTCTTATAAAATGTGGAATGAGGGACCTGTGGTCCTCTCCAGCCTGTGCTGGCCAGATCTCACCTGGACTCTTGTGTTAAAGACTGGGCACCATATTTTATCAGTGTGTAGGACTTGTATGTTTACACTGCACCTATTTATGCAGAGAAAAATGTGTTTTCTCCTGATTTAATAGAAGTGGTGATCTCAGTCTGATCCAATAAACTGAAAGTTCTCTTTGGGTAACTCTAGGATGACTCCCCAGGTAAATGCCCAATCTTTCAGAGCTCCCCTCCTCCCTTCCACACAAGGTGTGGACAATGGTTCACTTGGGACAGTAAGGGAGAGAGGACCTAGTCCTAGACGTAGGCCCACACCAGCTCCTGCAGATCCTCGCTCCCCCCCGCTGGTCAATGCTGCACCCGGAGTGGTGGCAGCTGAGGGGCAGTCTGTCACTGTCCGCTGCTGAGGCCGGGGGCTCAGCCACCTTCCTTCCTTCT